ATTTGTTCTTTATATAACTGTATTTCTTGACTTTTGACACGTATTCAAAGAATCCCTTTGGTAAGAGGAAGGATTCCAATCACCCTGCTGCTGCTGCTGCCGCCGCCGCTGCCCCTGTGAATGGCATGAGTGGACCTGCCCCGCCTATGAATTACCAGTAGTCTGAAGGGGATGTACTCTATTTTAAATGGTCCAAATTTGCAACTACATGATAGGATGCATCATGCAGCTGTTGCACACATCCATTTCATCAGCATTAGCATTTCTTCTTATGTGAATGAGTGCGCATAATGACATCATGAATGTACCATTGGGCCATGTTTTGCCTTGATATCCAAGCTATGCATTGCAAAAGCATACCTCTAACTGCCTTGATGACATCATAAATATCATTCTGTTATCTTGTAGGACTGATGCATTCCAGCTGTAGTTTTATGGATGTGTGTGTTTGATGTTCATACTGACCATGCTGTTGATTGACAATTTGGCATAATATAGATGGACTGCAAAGTCACATAGTTGAAACTTATATTCTTGTAGTCATGATTTTCATTCATGGGCATGAAATATTGGAAAGGAAGCATAGGAGCTCACGTCACTGATCATGATTGCTTCTGCAATCCATTGCCATTATCATTGGCATCATGTTTCATTTATCGTCAACCTGTCAATCCATCATTTCTACTGGTTGAAACAGGAGATAGCTATATATTTCAGGGTTTAGGCTCTTCGAAGAAAGCTTTTTTGCTGGAAAATTTTGAGAAAATGTGCTCTTGTTATCGTGCAGGCTATCAGTCAGTGACTAATGATATCATTGCTTTGTGTTTGAATGGTCGCTGCAGCTCATTTTCTGGAAATCAGCCCCACTAGGTAAGGTCATCTTGGGGTTTTTTTGGGATGATATATCGCCTTTCAAGTTTCCTTATGCAAAAGCACATTGAATAGGAAGTTAAAGCACTCGTATGGTCTTGTAGACTTCTATTTGGCTGTTTTTGTTGGGAAAGTTCTTTTGGGTTAGGATTGATTGTTGTAGTTTCAACTTTGTAAGTGAACTGTATATTAGCTGCCAGAGATAACTAAAGGATCAGCTGCTATATTTGCTAGAGCTGTACTCTACAATTATTGTTTTGTGTTTTCATTTTTGTTTATGGAAAGGTAAGATGAGCCTTTGAGGGCTTGAGATGTTGAATGTTGAATGTTGCGCTTGGACTTGGGGTGGTGTAAGTGCAAGCCTCAGCATGGTGCATGTGTTCAAAGGCATAGGTACATACGTTATCACGTATGACTCTTGATCACTACTCCGTATATTGTCTTCTTTTCATTTAGCAAATATAACAAGGGAAGTTTACGTTTAGCTTCTATTGAATCTATTCACATTCCTTTGAAATTTCTCTAACGTATTAATTTTTGTCAAAATTTTATACCAATTCTTTATTTTCTGGGCTTTTAGATTGATGGCTCAAAGTCAGATTCCTAAACTCTAGCGTATTAATTCTTGACAAAAAATTGGTGTTTTTTATTCACTTTTTAAAAAGGTTGATTTGGAATAAAGATGAAACATTACATATGCTTTTTGTTTGTGTAAATTTCTATACGATTATGAAAATTGTTTTGTATGTTCTTTAAGTTCTTTATTAGAGCGATAACCATGGAAATGCGCGACAATATCTATCTGTAATTATGTCCAAGTCAGTATTCAGTAAAAATAAGCAGAGTAATTTGATGGAAAAATTGTCAAAATGAGCGTTTTTGGAAAACAATTTCCCAAACAAGACGTGTGGCAAAACTATTTACCAAACTAAGCTTTCAGGGTAAAACGCCAACCAGGGTGGCGTTTTACCCTGGGCAATTTTTTTTTTAATTTTTAGTCAAAGGTAAAACGCCATCAAGGGTGGCGTTTTACTGCTGGGCACATTTTTTAAAAAAAACATTTCCACAAAAACGCTAACGCCGTTGGCGTTTTACTTTTAACACAAAAGCGCTAACGTCGTTGGCGTTTTAGAGTCGGGTATTTCTAACAGCATATATCGCTGTTCTTCATTATTCAACCAAACCCCCAAATTGCAAACCCTAACCCCGCGCATACCAACTTCCAATTCTCCATATTTGAAGCAATTTCATCACATTCCGTAGCTTAGTTTTGCATCATAGTCAATAAAAATTAATCCTCCTTCTTTGTTCAACACTGTTACGCCCTACTTTCATCGAAATTGAGGTATGTCTTGAATTTAACTATTTTACTTGTGTATGATGTTTTTTGGGAATTTATGTTTGTAATTTACAATGTATGTACTATAGTGTTGTTCAAGTATGCGAAATATGTATAACTACATAATACATTGTTGTTTAATTATTGAAATTAAGTATAGTTATATGTATGTTGTATAATTTCGTATAATTTATATGAAGCATTTAGTTGTTGAACTACATATATGAAGCATTTAGGGAATTACGAACTACATTGTTGAGTTAAGTACATTTAAATGTATCTTACATTGTTAGATTAAGTAGGTAAGTTAGTATGTTGTTGAACACTGCGTTGTATGTACGCTTTGCTTGGGGATTTATTGGAATCATTGTGGTTTTAGTTGTGCATATGTGTCACCTAATATGTGGTCTGATGTTATGTAGAACATGGCTTCACAATTGATTGTTTTGTTATGCCGTTGGGGGGTGAAATTTTGTGTGTCGGACCCAATGTCGAGTATAGAGGAGGAAAAATGGAACCGCTAGCATTGAAACCTTGTATGACTTACAATGATTTGTTGAAGAAAGTTTATACTATAATTGGTTCAAAGCCAACAAGTGTTGAAGTGAACATCAAAATGAGGTTTGAAAGTGTTAGCGGGATTCAAATCTTACCTGTTTTGAATGACGACCATTTGGAGGTTTTGAGGGGTGTCGTTGCAATGAGGTCTCTTCCTACTGATTTGTATGTGGAAACGGTGTCTGTATGTACTCAACAACCAACATTTCTTCCATCATACAATGCAAGCTCTCTACAAATGCCCGCATATAACATTCCATCATCTGAATATGGAATGGGTTCTTTCAGTAGAATGTTACACGACGATCAATTTGACATTCTATTCAGTTCACAATTTACGGCGTCGGGGTCAATGCAGCAACCTGGTCCATCTACCTCAAACAATGACATTTCATCATCGATGCAGTTGCAAAGTTACTCTCCCACGCAAGAACATATTGAAACACCACCGTTTCAGACTTTGGTGAATGCTGAACTTGTTGTAAACAACGAGTTGTCTGTTCTTGATATGTACAATGACACAAACGACGAGGGTGAAGACGGAGATGAAGAAGATGTTATAAACAACGATTTGTCTGTGGATGATGTTGTTGCTAGAACTCCATTACCTTGGTTCAGTCAAATAAACGAGAACTATGAGGTGGACATACATTGGGGTGATTCGGGGAGCCAGTGTTCGTTTCGTGTCGGGGGAGAATTTGAGAAGGGCATGATTTTCGACAATAAGAAAGCGCTACAGGAAATGGTGAAATTGTATTCCATAGAGCGAAATCATTTCTACACCACAGTGACGTCGAATGAGAATGTCCTTCATTTAAAGTGCAAGAGGGGGTGTGGTTGGTCGCTACGTGGTACAAAAACAAATCTAACCACACGTGCCTTTAAGATCGTATCTTACAAGGGCCCACATCGCGACAATTGTGTTAATGAAGTTCCGCCCAGAGATCATCGACACTTGGACTCCTCTGTTATCTGCGACTATGTGAAGTCGTTTGTGCAGAAAGATCCATGTTTGAGAGTTGAGTTCATACAACATATCATCTCCAACAAATTTCAATTCGATGTTCCATATCGAAGAGCGTGGTATGCCAAACAGAAAGCGATTGCGGAAATTTTTGGGGATTGGGAGAGTTCATACAACAGACTTCCTTCATTCATGCAAGCCCTCCAGGAGTCGAACCCAGGCACTGTAGTTCTGTGGAAATACAAAGCTATTGCTGAAGGCGTTTATTACAGCAACATGGAGGTATTTGAACGAGTGTTTTGAGCCTTTAAGCCTTCCATCGATGGGTTCAAACACTGCATGCCTCTGTTATCTATTGATGGGACACACTTGTATGGGAAATATAAAGGCACACTTTTGGTTGCTACAAGTGTTGATGCTAATTTTCAGGTATTTCCTTTAGCATTTGCAATAGTTGAAGGGGAAAACACCTCGAGTTGGTCCTGGTTTCTAAGCTGCATTCGGGTTCATGTTACTGATCGAGAGGGCCTATGTGTTATATCTGACCGACATGCGGGGATTATTGCTGCGATGACTAACCCGGATGTTGGATTTCATGAGCCACGGGCCTTTCACAGGTTTTGCGTTCGACACATGGCCTCTAACTTGAGGACCCATGTGAAAAACAACGACATGAGAGACAGGTTCAAGGCTGCTGCATACCAACGCCAAGAAAAAAAATTGGTTGAAGATATGCGTTCTATCGGCGAAGCTTGTTTTAAGTCCCTAGAGTACATCACGGATGTGCCGTTTCACAGATGGTCCTTGTTTCATGACGCTGGTCGGAGGCATGGTATATGTACTACAAATTTCTCAGAAACTTTTAACAATGTGTTGAAGGGAGCTCGTTTTCTGCCAATCATGTCCCTTGTCGAGTTAACTTTCCACAGAGTTAACAAGTACTTTAACAGAAGCAGAGATAGTTCACTTGCTAGGCGTGCTCACGGATATGCATACTCACCTAAGGTCACCGCCATTTTGGAGAAGAATAATAGAAAGGCAAAATACCATACAGTGGATGTTTATAGCCGCCAGCTTGGTATATACCAAGTAAAAACACACCGAGGAGAAAGGATAGGGAGAAAAGGGGGTCATAAGCATACCGTTAACTTTAATTTAAGAACATGTACATGCAACAAACCGATGATATTTCACCTACCATGTTCTCATGTTCTAGCCGTGTGTCTTAAGTATTCAGTTTCTGAGAAACCGTGGGTGGACAGTTTCCTACGATCAGAGGCGTATGCAAATACTTATGCCCCACAATTCTGGCCTATTCCTTGTGAGACGACGTGGAGGTCATACAGAGGGCCTAAAATCATTCCTGATGAGATCATGGTCCGAGGACACGGTCGCCCACCGTCGAAGCGTATACGAAATGAAATGGATGAGACAAACCGTCCACCAAGCAAATGTAGTCGTTGCCGTCAGGAAGGACACAATAAGAGATCTTGCCCTTTTCGAACGGACGGTGACCGGTAGTGGTGTTAGTTTATGTATTATTTTTATACCATGTTGTGTGTATGTGTTCAAGTAGGATGTAGCTGACTTTTTGTTTTACATTGTACGCTGAACAGAGATCATGGAGGGACAGGATCAGGGGCAGACACGACATGACCCTGGACCAGCTGACCCTTCAGTGCTGACACTTCAGGATACCCATCGGAGCCGTGACATATGGGAGCAGATAGTAAGTTTTCATCTACCAAATATTTATTGTGTTTGGCATTTATTTGGTTCACTGATAAAACAATTTATTTTTTGTTCTTGTACAGGGTGATCCAGCACGTTGCTTGGTTTGCAGGCACCACGTGGCCACCACGGTGGTAGATTGGGTGGTCGACCCCCGTGTGCTACAGTACATCGATTTTGTGGGTTTCGGCGGATTTCATAGGATGGCCTTCACACCGATCGATCGAGCGCTTATTACTGCGCTCGTTGAGAGATGGAGACAGGAGACTCACTCCTTCCATCTACCAGTTGGGGAGGCCACCGTCACGCTCCGAGATGTGGCGATACTTACACGGCTCCCAGTGCATGGTAGGGCAGTTACAGGACCGATTATACAGGACCCTCGTGGCCTTGTTGAGAGGGTGTTAGGGGTGAGGCCTGAGGCGACCGATGTTAGAGGCACAGGGTTAAGACACATATGGTTACGAGAGACATTTGGGGTGTTGCCTCCTGATGATGATGATGGGGTCGTCCAAAGATACGCTCGAGCGTACCTGTTCATGTTGATAGGATCATTATTCAGTAACAAGAATGGTAGTCACATACAGTTGATCTACCTACAGCTGTTAGAGAACAACTGGGAGGGTATACGTGACTAAAGCTGGGGTAGTGCGTGTCTGGCAACCTTATATCGACATCTTTGCAGAGCATCCCAGCGTAGTAGATGGGAGATCAGTGGTCCCTTGATTGTGCTTCAGGTAGTCTTGTACTTTCATACCATTTTCTACCTATTACGTACTAAACATTGGCTAGACTAAACTTTTTTTTTTTATTACAGTTATGGGCTTGGGAGCACATCCACGTTGGTAGGCCAGCTATGCCTGCTAGGCGTCGACGCGAGGAGGGGGAGGAAGACGATCAGGAGCATGCATATGAGGCGCCGCCACACCCACCACCGGACTTAGCATACGGTTGCCGGTATGTATGACTTATTGTTAAGTTATCCACATATGGTTTTAATTTTCTATTAATTTTGTCATGAACACTGTTATTATACATGTAATCAGGTGGCTAGGGCGGAGACTTACTCGTGTGCATGCAGCAAGGGGTCTGTCGTATTATAGAGATGCATTCGACAGACTGAGCGAGTCTCAGGTTATAGTTCACTTTAAAAACTAATTTAACACCGTGTTCATTATTTTAATAAGTTAATTATGATGTTAACGACTGCTTGTTAATGCAGATGACGTGGGATCCGTACGTCCCTCACTTAGTCGATGCCATGCCCCAATATCTTCTTGATCACCAGATGGAGTGGCGTGCCATGACAGTGCTCATCTGTTTTGAGTTGGTGGAGGCTCACCTCCCCGACAGAGTCATGCGACAGTTCGGCCTTTGTCAAGCCATCCCCGCCCCGTGTGACACGAGTGTCCAGTTGCACAGGACAGACCGACGAGGAAAGGGGGAGGTTAACTGGGCAGTTCAGCATGCCCCTTACATTGACATGTGGGACCAGCGGCTGCAGCACGTCGCAGATGGTGCGCCTGTCCAAGGCCTGATGGAGTATCACGATCCATACATGGTATGGTACAGGAGCATTACCCGACGCTTCATCAACCCTAACTACACCCCACCCTCAACGCATTACCACCCAGCTTTTGGAGACATCAGTGGATATGTGAGTTTTTTGTCATTTTTTCTTTTCCTCCAATTTATAGTTTCTTTAATTATTAAAATGGCTAATTGTTGACTAATGCAGGCGTCTGATATGCTTGCTATACATGACGCACTAGAAGTCTTGAGCATATCATATTTCACCATACCGCAGTTGGATGACATTCACGCAATGACTGTGAGTAGCTTACAGAGACATGGTCATGGCCATCTTATCCCCCAGGGCCGGGACCAATCACACCGCCGTTCACACCGTGAGGTAGGCAGCAGTAGTAGGGGACAGACTCACACGTCCCCTAAAGGGTCCCCCCTGTTTTTTGATGATTAGGAAGATATCGCCATCCACATGTCTGCGCCATACTCATCTCAAGAAGGACCATCTTCCAGCCAACAGACTCCTCCCCAGACCTCTGCCCCAGATCCTTTCACAACGGTATCTCAGTACTACCGTCGTAGAAGACCGCGATTGGATAGACAACACTTACATACAATAGATGAATCGGGATCTTAGAACTTCTTTTGTTAGTTGTAATCAGATTCTATAGTACATTGTATCCAAATAAATATTATCAATTTTACTAACCTTTTTAGTTCATTTTCTGTACATTATCAACTTCACCATACGCATTCATTCTTTTCATTGTATTGGTTGCTGATGTTGTTGTTGTTGCTGGTGTTGTTAATGTTGCTGATGTTGTTGCAGTTATTGTTGTGGTTCCTGTTGTTAAGGTTGTAGTAGTTGTTGTGATTGTTGTTGATGCTCTGGTTGGGGTTGTCGCTGTTGCTCTTGTTGGGGTTGTCGCTATTGCTGTTGTTGTAGTTGTTGTGGTTGTTGCTGCTGTTGTTGTTGCAGCTCCTGTGGTTGTTGCTGTTGTTGTTGCAGCTCCTGTGGTTGTTGCTGCTGTTGCTGTGTAGCTGTGTTTGTGTGCGATAAAACGCCAACCATGGTGGCGCTTTAGGGGGGTAAATTATTTTCAAAAAAATCACTCAGGGTAAAACGCCAACGGCGTTAGCGTTTTTTGTGTAAATGTGTTTTTTTTTAAAAAATTTGCCCAGCAGTAAAACGCCACCCTTGATGGCGGTTTATCCTTGACTAAAAATTTAAAAAAAATAAATGCCCAGGGTAAAACGCCATCCTGGTTGGCGTTTTACTCTGGAAGCTTAGTTTGGTAAATAGTTTTGCCACGCGTCTTGTTTGGGTAATTGTTTCCCAAAAACGCTTAGTTTGACAATTTTTCCTAATTTGATGGCCCACTGAAAATGCTGAAATGAAATTATTTAGCGTTCCATTGAAATGGATTTAAGTAAACTACATCAGTAGTTGATTATCACATAACACCTTATTTTAAAAAAAAGGGATATTCCCATTGATACACTCCAGGTTTTGACTTTTCTCAATGGTACCACATTTTTTTTTGACTTCCTGCTGATACACCCAAGGTTTTGACTTTATAATTCACGTACCTAAGTCTGTTAATCAGACGTTAATAACTTGATAAATTAACATCTTAGGCTTAGTAAAAGATGAAATGACTAATATACCCCTTTTTTAATCCATTCCCTCCAAATTTTTCCCCTTAAATTGTCTGTTATTTCCCTCCAACTTCTCAAACCCTATTCCCTCCCTAAAAAAAAGCCAATTTCCCCTCTTCTATTCTCCATTAAAGTTCTCTTCCATTGTTACAAACTTATCTCATCTCCATTAAGGCTCCCTTGCTGCAAACTTATCTTCTCTTCTGACATTGCTGCAAACTTATCATTGACCGTGTATGTTTAATATTGAGATCAACTAAAATAGACAAAGTAACTAAAATGTGGGACAAATTGAAATAGACAAAATGACATCAGTTGCCAACATTCATTAATATATATAGGTTATTTGGGAACATTGCAAAAATCCAACTTTCAATAGTAAAGTTGTCTACTAAATTACCAAATAACAACAGCAAAAATCATCCCAAATGACAAAAAAAAAGAGTTAACTACACGTTTTGACTTTCTATAAAATTATCAAAATGCATATGCCACTAAACTGCAGAACAAAAGACTTAGGAGCTTGGAGAATTTGATTTTCATTGAGACATAGGCACTGGTTGGCTAGGCAACTGTGAAGCTGTCAGTACTATTGCTTCCTCAGCTGAGGGTCTGCCCTTCTGTCCCTTTGCTTGTTTAGCTGAAGCTGCAGACTGAGATCCAACTTCTTCAGATTTCTTTGCTGCCTTTGCTGCATTACTTTGGTCTCTGACCCTAAGATTTTTTATGACAACAGGTTCATTTGACTTCAGTTCTTTCCCAGTTAACCCTCCCTTACAAGTTGTCTTATTATGGCCAAAGCAACCACATTTGCTACATTTGACTGTTTTGGACCTTTTTTCCAGGTTTCTCTTCACCTTCCTCCCTCTTTCTATTCCTACTTGGTCTTCCAATTCCCCTCTTCATCTTAGGAGGCATGATGATTGTACCTGACTCATCTGCAGGCCATTGCTGTGTGTCAGGAATTGGGTTAATGAAAAAACTATAAGCTTACTTAGGGATAGACTCATATCATAGCAAAACAATCAAAAAATTGAAACACAAAGAGGAAAGTACTTGCCTTTTGCCTATCAGAAATAATGGTCCAATGCTCCCTTGATGAGTCTTTCACAATGTTTGGGAAGGTGCATCAATTGGTTGTGCAGATTTGGATTTGTTCCTTAACCTGTTGATCATTCTATTCAAGGCACTTGGTTTCTTGGCAAACCCAACCCAAATATGATACATCTCACAGTCACCTAGGGTATGAATCATCTTAAAAAATCAGCATCATTTAGTAAAGGGTGATTCTTTTCATTGTGACCATAACCAAAGGTAGGGTTGATTAAGGGATACTCAGTGTCTAATGCAGTAGTGTCCTCAAAATTCATAATCAAGTCCATCAAATTACATCTATCTAAGTCAACATCAATATCAACATGTTTATCCCAGTAATGAAACCTTATCACAACATCACCCATTCTGCAAAATAAGGTAAACAATGCACACACTTACAACATGCAAATCAATTCCAATTCAATTATCCAACAATCAATCAAACATAATCATGGCATTTCATTCAATATAATTCCATATTCTAAACCAATAATTGAACAAACATAAGCCCCCAACTAATATACATGAAAGAACCCTAAAATCGCACAAATATACATCATTAAAATCATGAATTAAACCTAAAATCGCATATTAAAACAGAACATCAAACAAATGCACCAAATCATGCATAAATGACCAGTAGTAGTGCTAAAGTACCTGAATTATGCAAGATTTCCCTCTAATGGCTTTGTAGACCAACGAAATTAGCAAATTTTCCCTTGCAAACCCTTCGTGAATTCAACAGAGAGCAGAGGAGAGAGAGATGAAATTTGAAAGTGAGTTTGGTTTATGTCAAATCGACATAAATGGAAGGGGAAGGGTTTTTGATCGTTGGAGGGAAGGGTTTAAAAGGGGGTAAATTAGTCTTCTTTTTTTTTACAAAAATATATTTTAACCTAGATTTACTAACTTATTAACGTCTGATTAACAGACTTAATCACGTGAGTTAGTAAGTCATATACTTGGGTGTATCATTAGGAAGTCAAAAAAAAATGTGGTACCGTTGGGAAAAGTTAAAACCTGAAGTGTATCAATGGGAATTTCCCAAAAAAAAAAACATAAAGTTAAAAGTGTGTTTGGATGATGAGATTGGTTGACCGCTATTACTATCTTGGAGAGCAATCTCCGAATTTGGCTTCTCTCCCCAAATTAACTGGTGTAGTAAATGACATTTCATCAAATTAACATTTCTAGAACTGGTTGTATTTTTATAATACTTAGTTTAGATCCCGTGTTATGTTTGGCTATTGTAAAAGTTATTATTAATCAGTTTGACTTTATTTAACAAAACATCTTAAGTCACTAATCATAGTTTTCTGAAAATTATTATTTACACCAAGGTGAAAAGTACACTAAAAGTGTTTTTTGCTCATTTGATAATTAAATGAACAACATTTATCAAAATGAGAAAAAAATCTTTGGTTATGAAATAATTGTGGATGCTCATTATATTCCTATACACTTTGGAATATTAGGGTTTAGTGTGTTCTAAAAAACCCTAGCTATTGTATACGTATATATACACCTTACTCAATGGAATAATAGACTGGTCTATTCTCTCCCCAAATTCTCTCTCATTCTCTTTATTTCACAACACGTTATCAGTACCAAAACTCTAAGGTACACATATACTACCAAATTGCTTTATGTAAATAATTTATGTACAAGCGAACATGATTTTTTTTTTTTAATGTTAATTACCACCGATTTGATAATATCAGTTAAAGAGTACCCAAGGAATGCAATTTATTCTTCTGCCACCGCTTATGTTTATTTGCATTGGATTGTATTGGTTAAATATTATCTTTTGTTATAATATGACTTTGTATCGGTAATTATTCAGTATAGATTTTAATATCATGATCGGCAAATACCATCAATAGTTTTGAGTTTTTTTTATTTATATTGGACTCATTTATCAAGGCCTATTATGTTGGTTGGTCGGTCGGCTACCTTATTTATCCCTTTATTGATGAATCATGCAAATTACTTTTCTTTGCTAAGCTCTTTGCTTTGTAAAAAGTTGAATGATAATTATAGAGAAAAATAATGATAATTTAACTTTATATATCCTAAGTTTGTGTGTATGTAGTTACATAATTGTTGATTTACATAATCTCTAAAATATACGATATTTCACTACCTTAAATTTTAAGAATTTTGGTGGTTTTGATGTGTGAATAATAAATTAATTAATCAATCTTATAAGAATTAATTGATAGATCGTAATATATATGAGCATGTGTTATTGTATCGTAAGGTATATATTATGAAAGATATGTAGTATATCTTGTAATCTTGCTTAGTGTCCTCATGCATCTGACGATGGTTAAAAAGAAACAAAAGATAGTGGAGAACTATTTCTATCAATTTGCCAAGTATTATCAGACTTTATGCATATTGCTTTTGTCAATTATATTGTGTACGTGTACAATGCTTAGTTTTTCATAATTTATTAAATTGGTGTAGGTAGATAATTATGTGCTCAAGTTAGCATGAATCAGTTTAATTTTCATGACGACCCATGAGTTTTATGAAATGCTCCATATTGATTTATTCGATTGATTACGCTTAATTTGTTAAATCAGCGTTATCTTTAAACATGTGATTATCTATATTAAACTGATTATTTGTGCGAGATCCGATTTTATTGGTTAATCGCTATCTTAGAAATTGTATGTTGTACGCTTTGTTTTTGATGAAGGTTTACTATGTACTTCGTAAGATTTTGGTTTTATTGATTTGTGTGAGATCTTATACTGACTTTGTGTGTTATGATTTAAATAATAAAATTATGGTTTTATTGGTTTTTAATATTATATTTGTTTTCATTGAATGATTACTTCACTACTTTATCTAATTAAAGATGTCGAACTATGAAGTCAATATGGTAAGTATTATTTTCATATCTTTCGTTTGTTAGTATGTATTATTTGGTTAACCAAGTTGGATCTTTTATCCTTATGA